TGAGAAACAAACAATAGTTTATTTAAAATCTCTGTGTCATTCAGATAAGGGGCAACTACATGAAACTCTTACAGATTGTTTAGTGCAATCATCATTTGTAGAGCCTGAAAACATTATAGCCACATTATGTAGGTTATACCTCAAAACCCGAGATGGGGGTTGAAAGGAGTATTAAAATAAGTATAAGGGTTGGCAAGAGTTGTTGCACCAATGATCAGGTCGCATTTATTTTTCCAGTTTGCTTCTTAGTTTCTGTGTAAGGATATTATTATTTCACTGTTATTCAAAGATCACCCCAAGTTATTCTTTGTTTTTTCCTATTATTACAGCAACTGGAATTGGCCCAGAGGCATTTAGATTTGAAGGACCTCATGAAGCAATAGGCCTGCGTAGTAATGAAAGGTACTACATTCTTCGACCTGAAGTTATTGAGGCATATTTCTACATGTGGCGCTACACGCACGAGCCCAAATATCGGGAATGGGCCTGGGAAGCAGCACAGGTTAGTAGGATGAGGGATGTTGCAGAAGCTAGGAAGATCAAGATTATAAAAAAATAATATAAAAAAGAAAATAAAAAAAATGCTTTTCTAAAGAGTAGACTAGTCTGGATAGTTTAGGGGTTTTCTACTCGAAGAATTTTAATATACAGAATAATAAAAAAATGAAAAAAAAAAAAAAAAAAAAAAAAAAAAAAAAAAATATTTTTAAAAAGAGGAGATTTGTTTAGAATATATGGGGTTTTTTTAAAAAAAAAATTTAAAAAAAAAAAAAAAAAAAAAAAAAAAAAAAAAAAAAAAAAAAAAAAAAAAAAGAAGAAAGGGGGGGGTGTGGGGGGGCAAGGAAAAGAAAGAGTGGGGGGGGGGGGGGGGGGGGGGGGAGCGGTGGTGGGCTTGACGTACAAAAAAATTCAGGCAAGGGAAAAATTAAAGGAAAAAAATTCATGCGCGCCAAGTAATCTTTAAAAGTATTTATGCCCGGCCTAAAAAAAGTTCATACAAGGGAAATGTTAATGAAAAATTCATTAGGCTCAAAAATTCCCTGCCCCTCTTCCTTAACTTTCCCTTCTGAGCAGTGGGTGAGTGGTTAAATCTAAGTTTATATTACCAATAGCACAGGCTAGTCGTGGCCATCGATGGTCATAATTAGCTAGGCAGTAGGCGATAAACAACATTAAAAATACTCAAACAAAACTGAACTTTCAAGAAATAATTATTATACTACTTTAGGAAAGGACCAAACAGGGTTTTTGATGTTTGGTGACTTTTTTTTTCAGAACATCGAAAAGTTCTGCCGGGTGGGGGCAGGATACTGTGGAATACGTGATGTTTCTCAGGTTCCAGTGTCACATGATGATGTCCAACAAAGCTTCTTCCTAGCAGAAACTTTAAAATACTTGTATTTAATATTCTCTGATGACACTCTTATTCCTTTAGATCACTGGGTCTTCAACACTGAAGCTCACCCATTACCAGTAATTGGCAAAATGCAGCCAGTTCAGTCAAGATAGTTAGGACATCTTTTAAAATTAAGTTCAAGTCAGTTTGGACATTTCCAAGTGCAAGACTAGAACAATAATAATTATAATATTAGGTGTAGGTTCTAGTAGACTTTATACCCAGGGGTTGATTCCTTTGGCATTTTGAAAATCCAAAGGTGTTACAGCTGAAACTGACAAGGGCAATTCCTTTCTCTGTTTTTGTATCCATGGAATTTTTTTGGAGTTAATTGTCACTCTGGGAAGATCGGCTACATGTACAAAAAACACTGCTTCCCTGCTTACGGGGGCTGGGCTGTCACTAAGCTTTCATTATGCTGGGTGTATGCAATTATTAGGCGGGGAAATGAACAGCTAGAAAGTTCTATTAGTTCTATTTTCGTTTTGGTGTCATATTAAAGTATCCAGGGGTCATGTTCATCATACATGTAGCAGGGGCAAATCCCCAATCCCCGGCCATAAGTGACGGCCATGCTGTATGGGCATTATAGTACCCGAATGTAATGAATATGGCCGGTGTAACCACAGCTATCATTCTAACAGTGGTATTAATTTTGTACTTAACATAATATAAGCTTAAAGCTAAAAACATAACAGCCTTTTTAGACAATATGTAATAATATTATTACCTATTGTCTAAAGGCTGTTATTAAAATAATATATTGTTTAAAAAGGCTCTGTGGTTCTTGTTTTTTATACCCTATGGCTACTACAGTAATTATACAACCAAAACACTACCAGAATATTTTGTGATATTCAATCAAGAAACTTACCCCAAAATGTCAAAATTAACTAAGGTACTTTTAACATCAATTCTAAGGATGTACACATGGATTAATTACTGTAAAATACTTTCATATAAAATTATGAGAAGTTTGATCGCAAGTGTCATGCTCTGTAGTATTCTTACAATTCTAGCCTAAATAAATACTATAATTTGTTTATATCTGCCAATTTTCAATGTACATCTTTTGTAATAATTTGCATGTGGTAGTTGTAAGAAAACAAACAACCCAAATTAATTTTCGTAGAAAGGATAAATAATTGTGTATCAAATCTAATTTCTCAAAGTTGATTATTTAAAAAAAATTGTGTACTCAGTAGACTTTCCCCTGGCGGGTCTTCTAAAAAGTTCCAATAACGTGTTTTCTGGCAAGACATTGCAAAGTGTCTCATTGTAATTGATTGAAGTTTTCAGATTGAGAAATTTTAAAGACCACAGATCAACAGCCTCCCAGGCCAGTTGGTAAATGCTGGAATAATAATGGGGGATGATGTCTATCTGGCTTTTCGATAATTGAAGATACTCTCTATCATTCTACATGTACTCTTCCTTTGCAAAGTGCTTTTCCCTGTTTTGTCTTCATGAATACTGCCTTGAAATTCCCAAAAATGCTATTGAAGATTTAGATTCACATTGTACAACATGACAAAGCTTTCTTTCTACTGACATTATTATACTGTTCAGTTCATGGTGTTCATCAGGCATCGGAGAATTCTCTGTTTACTAAGCAGAATTCTCCGGCTAATGTTGTGTAGTCTATGACTAGTTTTAACTCAGACGTGGAGCCTTTTTCAAAATATTATCCTATAACCTGACACCTTTCTCTCATTACTAGAATTCTTAATGAAAACCCCGACTGCTTATTACATCATCACACAAATACATGGTTTCATTCCGGGTTGATCCGTGTTATTTATTTAAGGATTATTTTGCACAGCTGTTAGTTTGCTCATTTCAGAAATTTGAGAAAATGTCAACTTGGATCTGATTTTTGTTATGTTTGCCTAATATTTCTGTTTATATGTAACCTGACTAATGGAGCTCTTTAGTGTGTTTGTTTGTTATCCCATTTCACTCCTCATGATGTTTTCTTCCAATTTCTTCCTGTCCACATACACAAGTTTGCATAATGTATGAAAAGACAATGTACAAATTCCCTTAGTTGAGAACACGGGAGAAAACAAACAAGCTAAACAAATGGGGCTGACCATTTAACTTTTGAGGTGAGATGGGTGATCTATTAAAAGTAGTTGACTTGGATAAAATTCTTTCCCAAACTAATTCACCCAAAAAAGTTAATTGGTTGGTCCTGAGGAGTTCTATTTCTATGTGTGAGGTGTGAAACTGAACAAATCTCTGTTATATAAGTTTATTTTAAAGTAAATTTTAATGTATTGTAATTAGTTCAGGATGCACCTCACTGGGTAAAATGGAATGTCTTGTAACAGAACATGTCAATGTAAATCTATGATTACATGTCTTTTTGTTTGTTACTTTGTTTTTGTTGTACAAATATGGATTTTTATCCGGGGGTTAATTAGTAACATGCTTTTCAAGCAGGGCTAGACGCATTTTTCCAGCCTTATGACATGACGTGTACATCCCACATACGAGATTTAATTTCATATGATTTTCCATTGAAATTGCGCGTGGGGTTCTACGGGTCATATGATAAATCAGGTTAAGTACTCTTAAAAGACAAGACTGTGAGCAGACTTTCCTCTCCTGCCCTCTTTCTTGAATTGAGAAAATTGAGGCAAAGCTCGCGTTAGGTAAGTAATAAAACTACAAGCTGTATTTTGCATTATAAATTATTATAAATCAACTTGTGTGCATACTAATCTGAGGAGAAAAGGAACAATTATTACTTACAGTCTATAAAGTCTATAACTTGTGATGGTGAAGGCCACTGATGTAATCCTACAAAATTGTTTGCTCAAGTCTTGTTTACCAAGAGGTAAAAGGTAAAGTAGAGTAAAGTTACTTGTGTAAGGAAACAATCCGCAGGCGAGGCTTGAACCCCAGACCTCCAGATCCAGAGTCCGAGGTGTTAACTGCTCGGCCACACATGCCTCCACTGTTTACTAAAAACCACATGACCATTTCTTAAGGTTTTCACTCAGCTGGAGGCTGTGCTGTTTGAGAAATAATAAGGACTCAAAAAAGTTTCATCTTGCAGTGGTGCTGGACATAGTTGTGCATTTTCACCTACCCAATATATAGACAAGGGCCAAAGCAAGTCATCTACTAACTAAATCATAAACTACGACAAGGACACAAAGCCCCTCAGAAAGCACTATTTTACAGCTACTTAGCTGGTCTTCAGGACAAATAAGTAATTCAAGTTTTAACAAGGCCTGAGCCAGCCCTGATCTTCTTTATTGGACGATTTTGCCATATAAGCCTACTTTATAAGACCTCACTTGATGGTGTAATGTTTTCTCAGGCTTCTAGCTACATGTACATGTAGATTACTGGAAGTCCTTTTATTTTGGTCAGCTGAGAAGAATAGTTGACATCGTGAGACTGGATTGCTCATGTGTAAATTGGGTATCTGTTTAGTAATCCCAAGGTAGTGCAAGCAGCGAATCAGGACTTCCCCACGATCAGCCACTGGAATTTGTTGAAGGTTTCAACAGTTCCGTAGTCTCCTCACAGTTATTTGTTTGGTATTTAATTCACCATAATTATTATTCCCACTGTGAAGAAGTGACAATCATCAGTCACCAGACTGGGTATAATGTTCATCAAATTCTTTCCTTGCCATTAAAATCCTCGAAAATCTAATGCCACTCAGACGCCGTTTGTTTTTCTTTGTTTGATTTTTGTCAATTGCCAAAACCCTAAACCGGGACAGTTCAACTTCATCGCTTTCTTTAGATAAGGTGAGATCTATTTCATCACCTTCTTTTACCTAAAACAATAAAATGAACTGTGTAAGTTTCCTCAATTTAAGGATACAGTTGAACCTCTGCACAACGGCCTCCATGGGACGGAAGAAAGTGGCCATTGTAGAGAGGGTTAAACAAGAGTCAGTGTATGGTGTTCACCAAAATAATAAAGCGGCTGTTGTAGAGAGGTGGCCATTGTGGAAATGGCCTTTAGTGAAGGTTCAACTGTACCAGCTTCTTCTAATAAACTTTGATTGTTTGATTAATTATATAGCTTTTACTTCTGAAAGGTAACCACTTGAATGAATGCAAGGCACTACTTTAACAGTGCTAAAGGTAAAAAATGATCATAACAGCTTACCTCCAAAAATGCTTTTTTACAGTTCTCCTTGTTTACAAATAATTTTCTGGCAGCAATATAGTCACTTGCTTTCCTGCAAAACCAATTACTTAGTAAGTTAATAGGAAGGGAGGGGGGGGGGGGGGGGAGGGGGTTACATGATAGAAGAGGCTAGAGACTGAATAGAGCTAGAAAACCACAGGTGAACCAAGCTCAAAAGATGAAACCACTGGCACTGTTATGTAAAGTTTAAATTATAATGAATTTTATGATAAAATATATGATTGCAGTTTCTGTAACCTACGCATGTGAAAGGATTTAAATAAAATCAGCTAACCTTGCTTAAGTTGTGCGTTTCTTCTTCACTAATGTGGTTTCCGAGCTAATTTATTGCCATGAAACCCATTAAGAGTTTTCCACAAATGTGTACAAGAAAAAGTCATTTGACAATTTTCTGTATAGCCTGTTCCAGGCGTTCATTCTCTTTGTCCTGTCCTTATGATCAGAACGCCTGGAACAAGCTAGTTACTGTATAGCCAGCACCCCCAACTTTTTTGTGAATTTGCTCCTAAGGGGTGAGAGGATGAGGAATGTGAAGATTCGTGTGGAGGGAGGGAGGGACAGGGGTGTGTGTGATACTCTCATATTAAAAGCATTCCAACTCTTCAAGATACCATTAAAACATCGGGAGTTTTGATTAAGAACACGGTATCACCAAACCAGAAAAGGTATCATGAATAAAATAACAGGAAATGTATCTGGTTTGAAAAGTGACGTCAGTGCAGGGGCAGCAGGGTAACATGTCTTCAGTCGTACTGCCCATTTTTAAATTAGTTAATTATATTTTGTAAAAATGCTTCATGGGTCCGAGGAGGCAAATAAGGCCTCCTCACATGGCTGGAGATCTAGCCCAAAGTCTTGCGAATCCGGATCATTGTAACACAAACCTTCTACCCATTCCGAGGCCACTCGCAATCACTCTATCCACTCGTAAACATGACACAACCAATTCGAGGTTTCTTCCTCGAGGAAGAGAGTTTTCGTCAATGTCTCGGGCGTCTGTGTGCGATTGATTTTCGTCGTTACTTTCTGCAGAACAGAAGTGGCGTGTAGGAAGGCTTGCTTTAGTGTACTTTAACGAGTTAACACGTCTGAAACCTCGTATGAAGGTCATGCAAGCCATGTTGATTTGCCGTTTTGGTTCCAGTCTTTCTCGCCTTGTACCTGCGTGGAAGGCGGGGGCTGTCGTGCGAGGTCGACACGCACACCAACTGTCCTAGAGAATGGCGACAAATGAAGAGCTGCGGAGAAGATCGGTAAAAAACCTATGAAAGGTCAAGATTCCGAACAGACTACTGGTGCTGCTTCGGCTAGGACCTGCGCGCGGGATGCCCAAGCTGTACATCCCCAGAAGCCATTTTGACCTCTGATGTCCCTCAAAATAGGGTGCATGGTCGGAAGAAGCTGACGTTTTACTGGGTCTCCATTTGAGAGAATCAAGTAGTTTCGGATTGTGTGTGTTCAGATTTTGGCTCCCTATGTTTTTTTTTTAAAGTGAGAACGAAAAAAAGAACAAACAAGATAGATGAAAATCTACGGGATGATCTCGCAGCTCCTACATATAAAAGGCCTCACTCGTGAATTTTCCTGACCACTATATTAAACGAGTTTCGTAGATACTAATATCACCATTAGTTATATAAACTAGCTAGGGATGACGGCTAAGGTATCTGCCAATTTTTTTTTTTCCCTAACACAAAGCAAATATTTCGTAAACGACTGTAGTGACATCTTCGCTCAAAATTAGCGGCTTAGTGACTTCGTTCGGTGCAACCAAATTTCCATTCATTTGCTCCATTAGCTGCGTGCTGGATCGTTAATCCCCAGCGGCAACTAAAAAGGTAGCGATCAAAGATAAGTTCTGTTCCCTGTTTCTTATCTCCTATAAGGAAGGTCGCCAGATTACAGTCAATGATAACTTTCTCATCATAGACGAGTTAACAGCTGGTTACATGTCATTCGGAATTTGTAGCGTATATATATTGCTGTTCTTTTACAACAAGTGTACAAAGTAGAATTCAGTAACCCTTTTAACGCAAGTAAGCTTATAATGACGTATGGCAGGAGCCTATCCAGGGGCACCCAACTAGAATATAGTTCAAAACTACTTAAACATAGCATTGTTGAACGTATTTTAGTATTTTAACGGTATATATAGAGGATATTACACGGTGGCGAGAAGATATGAATTTTATGTTCGGGATCCCTAGCTAAAAGTCTAGTGATCCGAAAATTATATGATCTCACGATAGGCTCCGAAAATTCTAGATCTCAAATCGTCTTCCGAACAGATATTTTCCGAAAATTGACGTTGCCTGGGTGCCACTGCCTATCACGATGATCTATCACAATAGGCTCCTGTGTATGGCGTGTTTTTCCTGTAAGTTGTCAGGGTGTGCTTGAGCATCTGCGAGGTACCATGAGTCTTCTTCTTGCATAGTATTATTCTACTTCTCTTAAAGCTATGTCCTTCTCAACTCCAATTCTCACAACCGTTCCAGCTGGCCGAAAAGTAGCGGTTTTTAGAGACAAACTTGGACATGTTTGGGTGAGCTGACCGTGGGGATAAGAAAAAAACGAAACCTCTGCGTGACTATAAAATCACACAGAGTTTGAATGTTTTGGTGTCAACGAAACTGCGTGGCTGCGATCGGCAACATAATTTAAACTAAAACGCTGGTTAACAAAGCCAAGGAGGAACTTAAACGGAGTCAGTAATTAACCAATGCAAGGTCAGCTCTAACACTCCACGAGCACCTGTGAAAAACTTTCATCTGACAAAGACAAGTGAAGAATCTTCCACAAAGGGAATTAAGTAAATTCGCAATCTAAGCATAAATTCAAGCACTAGTAAAAACATAAGATCAAAACAGGAAAACAGCCATGTAGACAAGCAAGAAAGAATGATCTCTCTTGAGACAAGTCTAGACTAACCTTGACCCGCTTAATGAAACCAGCCCCAAGTGTGCATAATTATGACACCCAATTTTTTCCCTTGTTTTTCGAAATGAGATGAGACAGATCTTAAAAATAACCTTCACAACGAAGTCGTTTATGGAATGCACCTAGTGGACTCTTTCTGAAACAATAACTATGAAAATACAACATATTTTAAATTGACTGGGCGACAAAATCTGTAGCATTAAACAATTTTGCGTCGACTCCTAGTTGTAACAAAAGCTGAGAACCTTATAACAAAATGCAAAGAAAGAAATTTTAGAAGGGTTCAGTTTAATAATATTCTCACGCAAAAAGAAAAAATTTGCTTTTCTCTTAATGACAGGTGCTGAATATTCAGAGGATTTCCCATCCCTTAACTTTATGTTTCCTTTAAGAAGACCACTACGCGAAAGGTTTGAAATTAAATGGTTTTTAATTAGTTTGTTTTATTGGGAGAAAGACCTGCCGCTCTTCGTTTTCTGACCAACCAGATAGTTCCATGACTATTATGATCTATCGCGTATAAGTTTACACGTAACAGGTGTTTACGATCAGAATCAGAAAATAATTTTAAATTTCGAAGAAGCAAGAAGTTAGTTCTGTTGATCAAACCAGTGCCAAACAGATTATTTTAAAAGTACTTAATATGGAGTTATGGTTTTGGATTCTTGGTTGGATTCTGTCTATCCTGACGATAGCTGGAAATGGGTTCATTATTTTCCTTGTGTGCAAAAAAAGGCAGCTCCGCACCAAAACCAACGCCTTCATTGCCTCACTTGCAGTGGCGGATTTCTGTGTTGGAGTGAGCGTCGTTCCTTCCTTCTTCATTTGCGACATTACAGGAGGCTGCGATTGGCCTACAGGAAACCGTCCTTTATGGACATTTGGTATAAGATGGTTGTTTGGTTACGCATCTGTTTAGCCTTAGAAAGTGCGACGCCAGGGCCCAGTTGTTCGAAGGCCGATTAGCGCTAACCCTACCCTGGGTTCCAGAGGCTTTTCATGCGCGGTTCCGGTTTCGGTTAAGGGCCAAGTCGCACTAGAGGACAAAACTGTTTATTTATGTCAAAAATCTGTCATCACAATCAAAAACCAAGTGCGACCGGTTTGTTCACCAATGGACAAAATTTGGTCGCGGACGGACAAACTTCAAAGATGCCGTCGACTACCTCTGGAGCAGGCCAAATTGAGACAAATCTTGGAAAACAATAGTGAGTGTGTTTTAATTCGGAAATGATTGGACAGGTGATACGTAGCAGAGTCTCTATGTTATAGACTTCGTTGTAAAATTAATCACGTTTTCATTTCGCAACAACATGGATCCCGGCGCGGGCGACCAATTTTTTCCGTACGAATATCCACAATAATTCTACCAGGATGGATCTATACTTTGCCAGGCCCTTACATGTTTAATGATCGAGGAAATCCCAGCCCATCTCCGACCGCGAGTACTGACTCGTTGCCAGTATCCCTCCAGTTCAGCGAAGATAGCTTAATGCCGGCATCAACCCCATCTTCTTAGCCCCGTACATCTTCGTCAGTCGAGAACAAGAAGGCTCAGGACAGATGGAGTAAAGAAGAGGAGAAGCTTTTAGTTCAAGTGTGGGCTGAAAAGCATGATCAGTTAGAAAGCCGAGAATCACAAGGCGCTCACAGCATGGTGTTGTGTTTTGTTCACAAATTTTGTTCCTAAGTGCGATTGTAGCTTTCCGGACAATTTTTTTGTCACAGGCCGATTTCAAGTCGAATTTGTCCAGAACAAGTCTGAAATTGCCCTCTAGTGCGACTTGGCCCTAAGTCATAGCAATAAAAGGGGGTGGTAGGCCTACACGACTTTTGCCTCATGCCAAAATGCTGCTTATTCCAATGAAGTTGTTTTTATCTGCTGGGTAGATTATGCTCTGGAAGGTTCCGCATTTTACTGAGCAAATGTGGTTTTAGCCGCATAATTCACACTGAGAGGTCATGACATATATATCGATTGACTGTAGTTATTGTTTTCTGGTCGGCAGGATTTGCCCTCTGATGCAAGCGCATTTTCTTTGACCTCTTTTGAAGCGTAAAGCTTTTTTATTACGGCTGAATAAGGGAACTAAGCGCGTAAGTCACGTAAGTCACTATCCGTGATAATTTAACATTCTGCAAAGAAAACTAGTAAAACTGACGAGCTGGGCCCAGCGTGATACAGCATTGCAGAAAAACATTACACTCACGGACTAAAGAAAATCGCTTAGATCAGATCTAGAGGGCACTTTGGAGAAAATTGGAACCCTTATTCAGCCGAAAGGCAAATCCTGCCGACCAGAAAACAATAACCACAGTCAATCGATATATATGTCATGACCTCTCAGTGTGAAACATGCGGCTAAAACCACATTTGCTCAGTAAAATGCAGAACCCTCCAGAGCATAATCTACCCAGCAGATAAAAACAACTTCATTGGAGTAAGCAGCATTTTGGCATGAGGTAAAAGTCGTGTAGGCGTACCACCCCCTTTTATTGCTACACCTTTAGAGTGATGTAGCCTTACAATTTTTTCACTAGTTTTGTTCCTTATGGACCAAAGAACAATGTTATTGTCTAACATGTGGATAATACTCTTACATTGGATGTCAGTGTATCACCTAAAATGTGCAAAATTTGCCGGTGCAGATACCTTAAGGTGTTGTGTCAGCCAGCAGTCGATCGACGAATCTCCTGGTAACACGCGAGAAAAAAACGTGTGATACCCAGGGTACGGTAACCCTGGGTTAAATTCTTATCCGGGTTTCTTTCTCTCTCTCTCTCTCTCTCTCTCTCTCTAGATTGTCGACTGCGTATTTTCTACTTGTTCTCGCTCTGCTATTTTCAAACGGTAAATTCGAAAAAAGTTTGAATTAAAAACATGGAGAGTAAAGTTTATGAATCATTTTCTAACTTTTTCAATTTTCCTTGATTTCTGTGTTGGAGTGAGCGTCGTTCCTTCCTTCTTCATTTGCGACATTACAGGAGGCTGCGATTGGCCTACAGGAAACCGTCCTTTATGGACATTTGGTATAAGATGGTTGTTTGGTTACGCATCTGTGATGAATTTGTGCAGTTTAGTACTCGAACGCTACATCGCCATCGTGAAACCTTTAAAATATCTAACTGCTATGACCAGATGTCGAGTTGTTAAAATGATAATCTTTTCGTGGACAATCCCTATAATTTTTGTAGTAGGTCTGCTATTAATTTTGTCAAGAATTTCAGCTATGTTTTTTGTAAGTATTTTTGCTATTTTGGTAGAGTTTTTCTCATGTTCTATATTAACTTTCTGCACCGCTTCGATAATACATGTTGTTTATAAGCAAGATAGAGCAGCACCTAGCTTAGGAAAAGTAAGTCGTTTTAGCCAACGTCGTGAAAAGTCTGCGATTGTAATGATGATAATTGTTGTAGGCTTGTTTCTTATTTGTTACGGCGTATATTTTCGCTGTAGTTTTGCAGCACTTTTTCTTAACATAACCTGTAATGATTTCAGTTATAAAATACCTCTGTTCATTTTAAACTCCGCCATCAACCCTTGGGCTTATGCTCTCTTCAAGAGGGACATAAAAACGATGATCAAAAGACTGTTCTGTAGGGCAACTTCCAGTCACAGTGTAATTCCTTTTATTTTAGCCAATCGTTCTGCCGTAGGAAGTGGGACTTCGTAAAATAGGTCCGCTTCGCTCATATGAAGCCAATGCGAGTTAAAATGACATTATTATTGCTTTTGAATAAATGAGAATCGTTCTTAGCAAGGGGGAATGAAAATTAAAGGGCAAGCAGGCAAAACTATTATCCATTTAATGATACAGAGATGAGATGGGAATTTTAAGAAGGGAAGACCTTTATTGCAGCTGGCTGTACACAAGGATAGCAGGACCTTGTGGTTTTTCGAATGAAAAGCGAGTTTGGGTAATGTATCTTACACTTAGTCTACTATTATCAGGACAAGGGTGAGGACTTGACGATCGCAGTTATCAATAATTTCGTCCTATATTACAGTGAATACATTAGAAACGTGATCGAAATATCTAGTGGGAGAGAATTTGTATTATTGTATTAATATTTATAAATGTTGCCAAACATTGTTTGCTTTGCATGAACTTCAGCTGTCTCATTCCCGTGGTTCCTAGGTCTCCTGGGCCCTTACGGCCAAGTGATTTAGCCTTAGAAAGTGCGACGCCAGGGCCCAGTTGTTCGAAGGCCGATTAGCGCTAACCCTACCCTGGGTTCCAGAGGCTTTTCATGCGCGGTTCCGGTTTCGGTTAAGGGCCAAGTCGCACTAGAGGACAAAACTGTTTATTTATGTCAAAAATCTGTCATCACAATCAAAAACCAAGTGCGACCGGTTTGTTCACCAATGGACAAAATTTGGTCGCGGACGGACAAACTTCAAAGATGCCGTCGACTACCTCTGGAGCAGGCCAAATTGAGACAAATCTTGGAAAACAATAGTGAGTGTGTTTTAATTCGGAAATGATTGGACAGGTGATACGTAGCAGAGTCTCTATGTTATAGACTTCGTTGTAAAATTAATCACGTTTTCATTTCGCAACAACATGGATCCCGGCGCGGGCGACCAATTTTTTCCGTACGAATATCCACAATAATTCTACCAGGATGGATCTATACTTTGCCAGGCCCTTACATGTTTAATGATCGAGGAAATCCCAGCCCATCTCCGACCGCGAGTACTGACTCGTTGCCAGTATCCCTCCAGTTCAGCGAAGATAGCTTAATGCCGGCATCAACCCCATCTTCTTAGCCCCGTACATCTTCGTCAGTCGAGAACAAGAAGGCTCAGGACAGATGGAGTAAAGAAGAGGAGAAGCTTTTAGTTCAAGTGTGGGCTGAAAAGCATGATCAGTTAGAAAGCCGAGAATCACAAGGCGCTCACAGCATGGTGTTGTGTTTTGTTCACAAATTTTGTTCCTAAGTGCGATTGTAGCTTTCCGGACAATTTTTTTGTCACAGGCCGATTTCAAGTCG